CCCTCGCCAGCCGGCCCCTCCCCGCGGGGCCTCCCCTCGCCAGCCGGCCCCTCCCCGCGGGGCCTCCCCTCGCCAGCCGGCCCCTCCCCGCACAGGGCCGCCCCATGTCTGCGGCTAAAGAGACAGCTTCCACGAATGCAAATGAAACACAGGGAAAAAGCCGAGATCACTCCTGCCCCACGCCCTGCCCTACCCCTGCATCTCATCCCATCCCTGCTCCTGCACCCCCCCTAGCTTCCACAAATGCAAATGAAACACAGGGAAAAAGCCGAGATCACTCCTGCCCCACGCCCTGCCCTACCCCTGCATCTCATCCCATCCCTGCTCCTGCACCCCCCCTTGTCCCCATTCCACTCCTGCCCCTCACAGACCAGCCTTTCCACACCCCCAGACTCTGAAGGGGCCTACGTACCTACTGAGCCCAGTGTGAGAATGGGGCTTGATGTCTGGGCAGGGCCTGGCTCCTGTGCCCCCGCCTGCCAGCCAGGCTGAGCCCTGTGCTTTGTGCCCAGCTCCCTCTGCCATCCCGGCTCCATGCCCACACCAGGTGTGAGTCAGTCGGTCCCTGGGACAGAGAGAAACGCCTCGCTCCCTGCCCCCGCTCTCTGGCTGCTCTCACTCTGTCGTGTGCTCCAGGCAGGGCCGTCTGGGCAGGGCCTGGCTCCTGTGCCCCCGCCTGCCAGCCAGGCTGAGCCCTGTGCTTTGTGCCCAGCTCCCTCTGCCATCCCGGCTCCATGCCCACACCAGGTGTGAGTCAGTCGGTCCCTGGGACAGAGAGAAACGCCTCGCTCCCTGCCCCCGCTCTCTGGCTGCTCTCACTCTGTCGTGTGCTCCAGGCAGGGCCGGCTGGGGGTCACGCTGCTGGTGCGGGGCCATGCAAGAGAGTGCAGCGTGCGTCGCACGACAGTGCCAGAGTGCTCCTGTCTCTGCTGCCGACATGCCAGGGCAGCGGCCCAAGGACACGTGCCGGCCGCGGTTTGTCACAGCCAGGCCTGACTCCGTGAAGTGGCTGTCTAGGGGGTGTTCTCTGGTGGGCCCCCTGCAGCGACAGCTCTCTGCTCTCCCTCCCCAGGGCCCTGACGGCTACCCAGGAGACGCGGGGGGCCGGGGCGAGGGCTGCTCTGCCCGCAAGTGGCTGTCTAGGGGGTGTTCTCTGGTGGGCCCCCTGCAGCGACAGCTCTCTGCTCTCCCTCCCCAGGGCCCTGACGGCTACCCAGGAGACGCGGGGGGCCGGGGCGAG